TTAAAAGCAATCTTTACGTTTGCCTATAAAGCAATTATATCATGTTTAAACCATTTTAATATAAAAATAGCCTTTCCACATTTTAAATACTGCAGAGGATAAAATGTATAAAACTGCCTTCTTCAGATTTTGATCGTTCCCTCTCTTACTTAAATCTGAATTTAATATATTCCTTTTTAGGCATGAAGAAGATAGCTAGCGATAGCAGCACCAGCTTTCTTCTCTAGTTCTTCCCAAACCCTGAAAAAGGAATTATCCATCTAAAAAGCAGAGACTGATCTCTCTCTCCTAATATGAAAGCTACATTTTATTGTAGGCATATATAAAAATCAAATTCTATGGGGAAACAGCTTCTAAGGCCAGCTGGAATTTAGCATACCATGTTCTCGCATATATTTTGTCAATTTTGTCAAAAACTCTGCCCTCCCCTTTCTCCTCCTCCTCTCTACAGGGGAAAGGGAACAGCTCTGAACCTACAAAGAACAAAAAACACAGGAAGTTTTGCTAAACTGATTTAGTTATTCCAAGAAAAATGCAACTGTAAATCCCTGTCATACACATGCATACCGCTGAATATTCAGAATGGCAATATTAAATAGTTACCTGGGACTTTGGTTAAAGCTACCAAACGAGCAACTATTTTAACTTTTTTTTTTCTTATTCTTGATTGCTATTTGCCTATTAATTCTCAAGGATTTTAGCTCAATCAAACTTGTCAGATCATCCAACAAAGAACACTCAGTAATTGTTTTGTTTCTTTAAAAGCACTCACTGTCACAGAGGTGATCAAGATTTATTACTCTAAAATACAGGAGCATTTTTTTTTACTTTTTTTCATTTAAGAAATGGGTGCTAATTAAAGAGAAACATTTAAAGTGGGCAGTGGCTCCGCCCTCAAAACAAAAACAGCAGCTTAATGCTGCAAGATCTCTTCCCTTTCCACAGTTAAGTACTGCCAGTTTGTTACTTAGTTTCAGTTATAATAGCTTATTTACGATATTGCTACCACTGGATGGGATCTGCATTACTACATTTGGAATCAAGTGCACAGATGCAATCGACTCATCTTGAATTCACAAAATTACAAGTTTTCACTCTCCCCCACTGAATAGCTATTAATTTTTCTTTTTTAGCAGACAGAAAAAGTACAATAGCATGTGTGACTCCAAAGAAGTCCTGATCCGAACAGCAGCCTTTTGTTGTGAACATGGTTTCCATCAACCTCCCTGGAAGATGAAATTCCAGTACCACAAAGGGCTGCAGAAGGTTCCCATATTGGTTGGGCCAAAGGACTATGACAGCACTGATAAACCCAAAAAACTGTTTTGCTACTTTGAATGTGACTACTGAAAACGGTAAGATCTCTCAACTATACAGAACACCCATGTCTTGACCCCTCTGCATTTGTGTCAGAGACAAGCAGATTCTAAGGAGGAATCCTCTTAGGAAGACACCACCGTCTACCAGCAGAACTCCATCTGCATTACAAAAACGCTACTAATTGCTCCAAAGCTGAGACTGGGTTGGGTTTTGTATTACCTCACGCTTCCGTGTGAGGAAAGAGATATAACTATCCCTACTCAAAAAAAGTCCTCCTACTCAAAATTGGTTTTGAATGTGTATTTTTGAGGTAAACGAAAACAATAACCATTTTCTAAAATGGCTACAATCTGATAATATCCCAGTGGAGCTGAAAGCTCTGGCTTTTCTTGTCAAACATGGCTAGGATACTAGATCTCTTCCTTTTCTCTTTGCCAAAAAAAAACCTCATAAGGCCATCTTCTCCTCTAGCAGCCTAAAGCAATGAGAAATAGCAAATGTTCTTACAAAAAAGGTCTCTTGCCATACCAGGGTAACTGGGAAAAAGACATAAGCACAGCCTTTGCAAGCTCTGCCAGAGAAGACTTTGTTCTTAATCTCTACTGATTAAGCTTATGAAAAATCAAAGCATTGTAAGCATATTTTCAAAGACTTTTGAACAGACTTCCTTCTACACTATGTGATATATGAAAGAAAACTAGCATTACAACATTAAGCAGGTGAAAAAATGCAAGCTACCTGGCTAATGCCACTGCAAGATGGCACATAGCAGGTTTACCTGCATGCTTTGGCTACCATTTAAAGTTTAACCACCAACACTAATTTTACATTTGCTGCTACTTATCTTAAAGTACAGGAATCACAGGTAGTAATATTTTCTTTGAACTTCTTTATTAAATACCAAATCTGTAAAAATCTAAAGATGATAAATAACTTGAGGAAGAATTTTTCAATCACATGGAGTATTTTCTACAACTACTATCTAGATCAGATCTCTTATGTTGTGCCATAAAAGAAACAACAAGAAATTTATTATCAATCTCAACATAAATTATAAACCGTAGATTTTGTCCAAATATGGAAAAGCTCCCAAGAAACTCCAATTCGGCATTGCATGGATACCAAACGTGAGTTACAATATGGCTGAAAAACATAGTCCCCAAGATGAATTTTATGCAATTCCGTAATTCATAGCCAACCAAGACAGCATGCCACCCTGAGTGACCTAGTTTTGAAGACTGTATCCTGGTCATCTCCAAGATAAACAATATCCCAAGCAATCCTCAGAAAACCATAAATGAACAAAATGCCGACCGCACACTCCTCCAGAACAGGCTATCATCAGTACTTCTGACCACATTCCCACAAAAGCATCATACCAAAACTGTTACTCCTTACATGTGTCAGAAAACACAATCCAATCCAAACACCATGCAATTCCAATGATAATTCTGATCTCTACAAAATTATCCTGCCTACACAAAAGGTAAAAGTTTCCAGAACTCTGTTCAAGCTACCCCAGTTGCAAGCCATATTAGATTAATGTCTCTGCCAACATACAAACTTAGCATAATGTATACTAACCCTCCCCACTCCATAGAGATCACAAACCAATTATGACAAACGGTAGTCTCACTGTCTATTTATTTTACTGGAAAGCATTCACTCACCAGAATACGATAACGAGAGTAGAATAAAAATCTTAATTCGGTCCTATGTAAGTTATATTACTCCCCAGACAGAAACGGATGTATGTTACTACTCTGAAAGAAAATTTTGCACTGAGGATGAGCTCTAAAATGACTGCAGGAACACTAATTTCACATAGTGGGAGCTGCCAAGTTATCAGTGGTTGTACACAATGTAAAGAATTTCTCTTTATAGGTACCGGAACAAAAAAGGAGTCACAAAGTTGAAATGACTTAGTGATGAAAGGAAGTAAGTCCACCCAATTCTACATACATAAAACAGGATTTAATAATCTTAGTTGCATATCACAGAAACTAATTATCTTACCTGAAAATTACTAAACACAGGCTTCATTGAAATGCAGAATAACTATTTAAAAACATGTAAGAAATAGAGAGGAGAGAATTAGAAAACAAAATGCAGTTAAACAACAGGGATCCAAAAGTTCAGGAACGTCAATCTATCTCTTTTCACAACAAAAAAGTGAGGACTTGGAACTCGCTCAGGAGACCTTCATTCTGCCCAGAAGGTCACTGTGGAAACAAGGGAGTTCGGTGGCGGGCTCTGGTCAGTTTGATCTTAAGGAGTAGGAGTGAAAAGGTGTATGTTTGACTAAGCATCTAATAGACTTTTGAGAAGAGAAGGCTTTTACATCAGTTGCCATTTACTGCATTTCTATCGTCTTTAATTTCCAGTGTATTCATCTCTATTATCAGAAGAAAGGCCAGAAAAAAAGAGGAAAAGCCTACTAGACTTCAGCATCCTCCAAAGTTAGGCCAAAGAACAACAAACATGAGCAATCATTGTGGTTGACCTCTAAAGGGCTAACTCTGGTTTCAATAAAACCCTACTGGTACCTTTGACCAGAAGCGTGGTAGTGCTACAGAGACGCAACTATGCACATTAAGTGCAGGAATTTATTTCAAACACACACAGAAAAGTGGTTAAATGAACACTAGGCAGAACCACTTTTGTTTCTATTCATAAGTGACTTCCACTGCAGCCTTACAAACTAACCCATACCACTGTGTACGCTGCAGTTTATGAAGATTATTTGCCAGGCTTATTCTCCGGATATAAGCATGTTAATTATTAACTTATTCTCTTACCCTACTCTTCAAATGTGTTACAGAAAGATGAGTAATAGCACAAAACTCCTGTTCCAACTCTAATTTTCCCCTCCCTCCGTTATTGTTGCAGCATGAGAGGCAGGGACTTCAGATTTAGACACAATAAACAGAGATTACATTCCTTTAGTAAGGTGTGCCAGAAACCTGAGACCTTTCAGCCAAAGAAGTATCGTAACACATTCTCCCTAATTATTATGCAATATTACAGTCTTCCACAGCAGGAACGTAATTTCATGGTTAGAATCCAACCCATTCACTAAAAAGCTGTTATACAGCACTCTCAGAAGGAAGGATTTTTAATAAAACAGGACTGTTGAGTCAAAAAGATAAACCAGTAAGAAGCTTGTATGATTCAGCTTTATCACAAAGCTAGCATTTATCACCCTTCCACACGTGCACATTTTTTGTGAATAGTCTTAAAAGCATAACGACAGTAAATACTTTTCTTTATTTACCTTATGCAATTCTGCATGAAAGGACTTAAAATTATTCATGTTTCTAGAAATCTGTATAATTTCCATTTCTCAACATTGTAGATATCTGGTTCCTAATAAATGACTGAAATAGCTGAATACATAAATTCACTTAAAAAATCTCCAGGGTTACAACTTCATTTTTCCAGTTAGAAAAACATTTAGTTTAGAAATAAAAAATATTTGCTTTCAATAAATGCAAACTTAATTATAAAGTCAAACACAAAGCATTCTAAAATTGTATTTCTCTTTTTCAGCTTCTTAATTCTCCAATTTCACAATTTTTTTTCAGAGAACAAAGAAATGGAAACAAATCTGTTAACACAAACACCATGCTACAGCTCTATATGCAAGTGCATTTAAAGAGAAAACTTAAGACACGATATACCTGCATGACACCCGGTAGAATGGATATCCTGGTAGAGGCACAGAGTTTGAAAATCCAGACTGACTCGACATTGCCTTCAGGTATTGCATCCACTTAAATCGCTTCTATATTCCATATGTTAATTCCTTACCAAAAAAAGTATGTATGTGTGTATCCATCTGTACATTTGTTCAAAGCTAACTAAAAAGACACCAAGTGCATATTCAAAGGTCTTGAAGATTCTGCCTGCGTTTCAAACTGCTTCCTCAGTAGTGAAATTCCTAAAAGCCACCACCCTCATGACATCACATACTACAAAATCATAAACATGCAATTGTTTCAGTAAAGCAAAGACAGCCCGTCGTTTTTGACTCGACAGAAAATCCTGCACCGCATTCTTGTTGAAAACACAGTGCCTTTCTGGCTGGCGAAAGGCAGCAAGAGCGGCTGCCTCAAACAGCAGCCCGGCTTTGGCAGTCAGCCAGCAACCAGCAGAACTTACTGCCAATGCCGCAAATCCCTCCTATCAGCTAATGAAGATCCAGACTGAAGGTGAAACATGATTTTAGCCCATCACAAGAATTTCCTTGGAAATGCATGAGATCCGTGACCTTGAACTTAGTGACAAAAATCTCTTTTAAAATTTTCAGTTAAATGTACAATGCATACTCTTGTTTTATAAGCAACATCCGATTGCACTGCACAGCACAGTAGTATGAAGAAAAATTATATTGAGTTTTCCCCTCCTAAAAGAGAATCCTATCATGCTACATGTTCAACTATGGGAAAGCAGGAGGGAAGGATAGGAAATGGAATCTTAAACCACATTACTTAAGCACCGAATAAAGATAGTTATGTGCATGCATTCCTGTAGTGCTTTACTACAGCTTCAATCAAAGAAATATCAAAAGCAAGATTTCTCTTGATATACAGTATGATGGTAAGTTACATGAAAGTTTATTTGGGTATGCCTTCGTCAGGAGAGGAAAAGACAACTGGAAAGCAGAAAGTCACGTGAGTAGCCACAGTATAGCCCAGTGGCACGACTTATGTCAAATAGACTTAAGTGATTATTACGTACCTACACTCTCTTAGCGTAAAGGTGGTGTACAGTGCCCTCACGTGAAGACTTGCTTAGTTTAAGCAAAATATTAAATCAAACAGATTTTAAAATTATTTCATTATCTGTGGTAGCTGCACTGAAAACATTAAAATGTTGAATTTAATACCTCTACCCCATGACATATTATTTACTCTCATATTATTTTATTTTGTCTCTCAGTTTTGGAAAAAGACTGAATTGGTTTCACTTGGTTTATCACAAGCTGAAAATCAAAATCCCAGTCATTAGGAAAATGGTACAAAACTTTGTCACTATTCTATGTGCCTTTTAAAGTCTGACTTAAAAGAATGGGAGCTTGTTCTACCTTAAACGCGTCTTAAATTCAAAACTAAATCTGATCTCAGTGGAATATTTAGTTTCTTGTTCACATAACCCAACTGGTTTTATTGTGTTTTAACAGTGCTGTGATGTTTTACATTGCCTAAATATTATTTGTCAAGGTGTAAAAAAAAAAAAAGGGGCAGTTTATTTATGAAACATGGATGACAACATTTCAAATGGAGATGAAACAGTAGGAGGAAAAAAAAACCAAAACAATCACAGGCTACAGAATAACGGCTTGGTCCTCAAAAAAATGGAAATGCTTATTAATTACCTCTGCACATGGTCACACTCAGAGCTCAGTCAAGTCACTGACTGTTCCCACCAGCTACAATTTGGGGAACCACAGGTCATCTCACACAATAAATGCAATGTACACTTGCACACAGAATAACATACAGATACCACAGGTCACAGCATATGGCACCAGTTTCTGAAGCGCTATAAAATTGCCAGGACAAGACATTAAAGAGAACACAGTTTGCCCAGAGAAGTAATGTTTTTTTATTAGCCCAACTGGTATGTCTGGGAAAACAAACAAGCTTCTGGGCATGTCATTTTGCAGAAATTTTTATACCTCTCCTAGCTGTTAAGAAAAAGTCAGAAAAGGCAATTCAAGCACAAATGATGTCATAGTACCAGCTGAATTTTTACAGACAGACTTGAAAAAGCAGCTTTTATAAGCATAATCTCTCTCATGTCTAGTATGGAGCACTAATTCCAAAACCCATGACTCTCAAAACCCACAGAGGTAACAGCAAAAAAAAGGGTTGTGTGCATGTGAGAGGAAGAGAAAACTCTACCAGGCCAGTCCAAGTCACCTCATCAGGGCTGCGAGGCCAAGTGCTATTCCCTGTCACCCCTATGGCCACAGCTGTCGAGGGCCACAGAAGCCGTCCTGCTGCGCTTGCTGGGCTTGGACCCCGTCAGTCACCTGGTGTGCGCAGCCCTAAAGCACCTGCATTTCTACCTTGTATATTTACTCATTTTTTATTTGGTGCCTCCTTGACACTGATAATCACAGCATTAACACATTTATGCAGTAATTCTGATCTCAGAATAATTCTTCTTAGTTCCAACGAGGATTTAGCATGTTTCCATTTGATTTGCCAGCTGAAAAGAATGTCAGTGTCAAGTCAGCAGACTACAGGCTTATAAACCAGGAGTCTTAGAGGCTGTCAGTGGCTCACCATGCGATTTTACAAAAATCACTTAGTCTCTTAATGCCTAGCTTATCCACATAATAAGGAAAATATACTGGCTGACAGCAATGGAATGATGCGAGGTTAAAACTTTTTTTTGTAATTAAGTATTGAAATCCTCTGATTAAAGATTTATGAAGGGATAAAACAGCTGTAGCATTTGAGGGAAAAGATGTGTGGGAATATTCAGAACAGAGCTTTCTTTTTGTCTCCTGCTCCTAGCTTTAATACAACAGAAGCATTATTGCTCTGAAATTTCAATTTAAATTTAAAAGCCATTTAAATTTTAAAATGTGGTGGAAACTACACTGTTTTGAAACCGGTGGTCAGCATTACCATAGCATTTAAAGATGGGGATAAGCGAGATGACAACAGGCAGACAAAAACTGAATCTAAGACGATCTTTACAGAAGCAGAATCCTTCATTGGTAAGCATCATACCAGTGCAGTGATTTAGAAACAGGAGGGGAAAATGTGGCATAGGAGGGAGAAAGGGGGAAGAGAAAAGCTGGTAAAGACCAAAGAGAAAGCCTCCACACAATGATACCCAACATCTACCAAGTGCCGCTTTTATTTCTTTCCACATGCAGGCTTGATTACAGCACAGAACTACTTCTGGGATCCAGACCTACTTGCCAAACACCACCTCCAATAAGAGAGACAAGTGGGTTTCGTTCCAACTGCAGTCATGGTTGTTTGAATTTTACTTCCCTGTTTTAGTGCCAACAAACTCACTTAAAATTAACCACATTAGTATTGTTTGGCATAGCAGCCAATGTAGTACTTATTACTTTGCTGGAACAAAATTAAACAAAGAAAATAAGTTTGAGGCACAAATACTGTGTGTTCTAGAATTTACAGTGACCTTAATACTGAAGTAACTGACCCATTAGCCATTACAGCATTTAATGCTGCTACTTGCAAAGGTACACAATACTTAACTGAGGTGTAACTGCACTTCAAAAAGCAAGGATAGGCTGAAAAATTGGAGAAGAGCAAGCTCATGACCACTTTCAGGTATTTCAAACAAGTAGCACTCTTGGTAAACTAACAGAAAATTCATTTAAACTAAAAAGGCAGACTGAAGAAGAAATAGAAACTAACCTCATTACGTGAATCTAAATCAACTTCATCAAGTCTAGAAGTGAAAGCAGGAACATTGTAAACAGTTATGTGACGATATATCAAAATGCATATAAAATGTTTAGTATTCATAAAAATAGAATGAAGTGTCATGCAGAAATTATTGTAACATCAATACTATAAATCACTAATTTACTCCCATACAAAGTGTTATATTTGATACTTTCCCTGCCTGCTAAGAAATGTATTAGACACTAAAACAGAAGGAAAAAATAATTCTAGGAAATGTAGGAAAAATCATTACATGGAGTTTGAAAATAACAGTAATACTTACAAAGAAAATATTACAAAGATATTCAATATAATGAGCAGTACTTAGAAGACATAATGGAAAGTCTTTTTCTCCTTTCTGTATGAAACACAAGAATAAGGAAATATTCAACAACACCGAAGAATAATGGCAAATTTGAAACTGAAGGACACTATCACTGAAAACTCAACACTCATCCAGAGTTAAACACTAACTGGATATTTGGGGCAGGGAAGGAAAAAAAAAAACCACCAACCACCCAGAAGCAATAACAGAAAAGCACTAGAAGGAAAGAGGACTTGAAAACACCACCAGAACTTGGGAGAAAGCAATCTAACCGAGCTGCCAAAGGACGCAGACGAGTGGGTTCAATGATAACGCATAATCTCTGCTGCACTCCTAAGCTTATTGGTCAAACAACTGAACTGAGATTTATTCTTTTCAGGCTATTTTTCCAAGAAAACTGAAGTGATCGCTGTCACATAGGCAGATACAGAATGAGCAGGTTAGTTGTTGCTTTCAGGTAGGCTACCTAATGGAAAAAAAAAGAAAAGTGAGCAACCTCTGAAATAAAATAAGCAGCACATGAAGATGTTTGTATTCTGACTTCAATTAAACTGGGTTCTCCAAAGAAAAAAAAACAAAAACAAAAACAAAAAAAAAAAACCAAACCAAACCAAAAACAAAACCACAAACCACCACATCTACCTTCTCCCCCTCTCCTACTCCACCTTCCAGTCTTTAAAATTTCCCATTTACCTGCCCTCTAATACCTGGTTGCTCTCTTCACCTTTCAGTAGCTTTGAATTTCCCCAGCCCCTCCCTCCCTCCTGCTGTTAAGGCAGCTTTCTTGCCATATACATGGCACTATCCTGGTAGGTCTATTACAAGCTTGTTCAGCTCGACAGCCCATTTATCTAGCCTAGAGATGGTTGCCTGTTACCCATCCTCATCCTCCATCAGCTTTACATCATTCCCAGTAAGATCTTTAAAAAGAAGTAAACATCCCAAAGAGCAAACGACAGTTGATTAAACAACTAAGTGTTGCACACT